AATAGTGAGATTAGTCTAATGGACTGTTGGAGGCTTCATTTAATGTTGCATTAACGTTACTGCCACTGAGCGTGATAGTTGAAGTCAAGAATGAGTAGAGTGCATTTACATTCACTAAGCAGAGAGACATGCCATGTGAGTTTACTTAATTGCTATTTATTTACTTTTATTAGCCTGGAAAATCATCTCAGATTTTTCATTTTGCATTTATTGTGGCAGTAAATTCACAAGCAGTGTAAGCCTGCAGATTCTGGAACAGCTTTTTGGAGTGAAGCAATGAGACAAGGCGTTATTGAAACCCTTCAGGTCTGCAGCAGTAGGTGCTGCTTTCTGCTTTGTGCACTGCAGCTGGGAGGGAGCTCGCGAGGCTCACTGGGTAGCACAGATGCTGTACAGGGAGGGCTGTGTCAGCTCTACAGGTTAACTGAAGCTAAGTGTAATTTCTCTTCTGCTTGGGTGACTGAAATGCTTTTTCGGGCTGAAGATATCCGTGGCCTACTTCTGCTTGGAAAGGATTTACATATGGAAAGGTCCCTTAATTTAAGCACAATTACTGTATGCTAGAGCACCCACTAAAAAAATTGCTGTTCAGACTCTAGAAATCTATTCAAGCAGCTACTGCTTTTAAGCAAAAGAAATTAAAGATCCAGAATTTTACTAGAGTTACAAGCCCCAGGTACTGTCTTAGTAAACAAAAATAGATTTTTTTTTTTTTTTTTCATTTATTTTTGGTGTTTTTCCTGAAGGATAGCAAATGTGTCTTGTTTGATGAAAGCTGGCAGGTAATTTATTCTCTTTTAAGCAAGAACCGTTCAACTGTATATGCTGCTGTGTCCCACAACCATGGCAGCTTGGGATCCTGGTTTGGTGGTAGCAGTGGTTCAGTGAATGCATTGCAGAATCATGAAGGTGATCACTGTCATCATGTTGGCCCTGAACTCAAGTAGCCAAATAGGCATGTAAGTGGGTTTTTTTCATTCCCGTGGACAATGAGGTAAGGGGAGGTTTGGGGGGTTCTGCCTAAATGTTTTTTTTTGCAGATGAAAATTCTAAAATTGTGAATGACATAATGCGGTGGGAAATTCTTCCATATGCCGTGGCAGTGGCTCAGAGCCAGTCAACGAAGCTGAAGAGATTTGAACTGCTGTTCAGAACAGTTACTTAACAGCCTAATTCACCTGACATCCCTGCCCTCTCTGCCCCATCCCTGTTAGGTGGTGGTTTGTGAATTTGAGAATTGCAAACCAGCAGCTCAGCCATGAGAATCCTGTGATGGGTGGCTTGACCTAAAAAAAGACTTAGAAGGAATTCTGATAGTTCAATACTTGTGTCAGCAGTGACACCCTTCCTTACCTTCTCCCTAGTTTATCACTGACATCTTCTCAAGAGCTGGAATCCTTAATGACTAAACCCCTTCTCACTGCATCTTAATCTGTGATCTGTACCTGCCCTGATTAACATCTGGACCCCTGGTTTCAAATGCCAGTGGGAACAAGTCTGCTCTGATTCCTTATTTTCTCAAGGCATCTGTAAAGCACAGCTGTACATGGTGCAAGCCCGTGGGTGTTAGACTGAATGCGTTTGTGCAATAGCAGGAATGTGAAACTAGCATGAAACACTTGGCTGGACAGGTACTGCATCAAGTGGGAAGCTGAAGTTACTTTCACTGAGAGAGACAAACTGTTCCTCAACACTTCATACTACTGAAATGTGGTATGAAGTGGCCACTTATGTGGCCTCTGTAAGAACAGACATCTAGACATAAATATAATTTGGGTGTTTGGTATATTTAAAAAAAAAAACAAAAAAAAAAACCCAAAAACCTAAAACAAAAAAACCCCTCAAAATACAACAAACTGCAATATGGGAGGGCTGGTCTCATTTTTAGCTGTTAAGATATGGAACTTGCAGTTGTCTGTCAGTTACTGGATATGTAATCTAGTATAGTACTAACACTCACAAGATGAGCTCATGAAGTCATTACTTGCTTGCTTGTAAGGGAATTATGCCTAAATCTGCAGTGATGGAACCAGGTCAACCCCACAGGAGGTCTGGTTGTTCTGATGCCAGGTGGAGCCATGTACCACTTGTCCTTATTACAGTAATTTGTTTCCATTACTTTGAGATTCAGCTAAGGTAAGATACAGATTTTCCCACATGTAGGTTAGAGTGAAATCAGTAAAGAACACTTCCAAGTATTAAGTTTGATGCTTGACAGTTTACTCTCAAAGCTAGGCGAGCTCAATGGTGTCAGTTCCTTCTAAGATCATCTCTGCGCCTGAGTTCAGTTGTGAAATAAATTATGAGGTCAACGTACTGCTGCTGGTGAGGGATTACAGACAAGGTTGTCTTAAAATAATCCATTTAATTAACTGCTTCTGGAATAACTGGCCTGCATATTAACAATGTCCCTCTTATTAATTAGGCAGTACTAAAATACTGTGTTGACTAGTCTATTGTAAGGGAGAAGAGAATTCACTGTTATTTCAGGAAGGTTTATTTCTCTTCCCTCTCAGCCTGAAACAGTCCTTGCCAGGCTTGAATGGGAACAGGAGGATACTGCTGCTTCCTGTTGAGGTTTGCCACTCTCAATTGGCCTGGATGCTTTTCAGTTGTAATTATGGAGATATGATGAATGCTAAGTGATAGAATGGGACCACTTAACTCTGACAAGTTCCTGAGGCAGCCAGTGCTGATTGAGGGAAGTCGTGTTAAGTTGCAGTGGGACAGTTACACAAGGACACAGTGGCCCCAGCACATACAGCTGAGTGTTCTCTATTTTTTGGCACATATTGCATTTGGCACCTCCTTCATTCTCACCCTTCAGTCTGCCTTTTATTTCAGGTAATAGTCAAAATCACACTTGTGTTCCAGTGAGGGGAATTGGTTTATAGCAATTGGAGGGGAGTGGTTTTAACTATCCTCTTGGACTCTACTACATGAGTAACCACGTAAGAAAACTGGTAAACTTAAGAATGACAAAATATAACTGGAGATGCCTAACATGTTAATAGGAATATAACCAGCGCAGCAATCGCCAAAGTGAGTAAGTGCATCCAGTTGCTTTGATGGATCCTCTCTGCTCATCCAAGTAATTGCAGAAGGAACTGAGATTCTTAAGATTCGTAACAGTGCTCCAGGCTGAGGGAGCTGTGACATGAGAATGTCGTACAGTGCAGCATCTAGCCCTGATGAGCAAAGATTTCAAACAAAAAAGGTTACTGCTGCAGTAAGCACCTTTGCAGAACTGTTTCATCAAAGCACTGTGTTTCTTTAAATGGGATTCAGGGTTGATTTCTGAGTATGCGTGAGTGCAAGTACTGGGGGAAAATCAATCATGAACGCACTGCTAAAGAGAGGATGCTACTATTAAAAGTTCAGCTAGCCACAGGCATGTAAGTCCTGTTTGCATGTGAGGCACCCCCAGAGGACAAGCTTTTCTGAGAATGTATATACCATGAAAAACTGTTCTAAACTTGCAGCAAAAATACATGCTGGTAGCCTGAGCCCCCTGCAGATAGCATTTCAGAGAACTTCCACTGAAGGGTTAGTTATCTGCTCAAATTAGTTGTTTAAAAGTAATTTTGGAAAGATTAATGACACATTAGAAAACTTGTACAAGTTTATATTGAAAATCAGTCTGCATGAACAGGTCGCCTAATTTATTAAAAATTACTTCTTTAGGTTTAGGAATACAGAGAAGAAAACCTTAACTGGTCATCACAAAACTCAAATGACTGAAGGCAATGACTCAACTTCCACAACAAAAAGGACTTACACATGCCCTTTACCAGTGTAGATCAGTTTTTTGCTAGAGGAAAAAAACATGCACTGCATATGTAGCATTGCTGTTCTTATTACAGCCTGATAACCTTGCCTTGGATCATTTGTCAACAGTTTGAAGAAAGCAGTTAAGCCTGTCCACAACACTGCAAGAGGAGACCAGGCTTCAGCTGATGAACAGCAGCTTAACTCTTACCACATTCATCCCAGGTCAGATAATCTACAGCCTTAGCCTGAATGAAAGCTCAGCAAAATTACTTTTTTACATCTGTAACATGCAGCTGATGGATTTTAAACAAATATAACCACAACCTCAGCTAGGGAGAGCTGAAAAGCCTACATGATACAATTATTTTCATGTTCCAGGATCAGAGGGAGATGATGACATCTTGGGTGAATTTGTGTACAAGGGTTCCACCACACCCTCTCTCAACTATTCCATGCTGACAAGCTTTTACTTAGTGCAAAGAGGCTACAAAACTATGAAACAGTCTTTAAAAAGGTAGTTTCGGAAAGCTTTATTGAATACTTCTTAATTTATTACAGCATCAGTAAATTACATTTCGCATTAGCCTGCTTTACACTTTCAAACCTGTTCTGGACGATGTTACAGAACTCTGTACTACCATCTCAGAGAACAAGTACAGTTTGGAAGCACTTCTAGTGGTGTTTGAGTGTGACAGTGACAGGCCTGAAGACAGGGTTGCTTTGTCACATGACGCCACAGGTAGAGAGAAAGCAGATCTCTTAAAATGCTGTCATGCTGGTTAACCATATCGCTGGTCCAAAGGCTCTTCCCTTCTGCTATCTTGACCAAAAAAAGCCAGATGCTTCCCTACGTCGTCACACTCTGTTGTTCATCCCAAACCTAGGCTTGTAGCAATACTGGTGGTAATTAAGAAATCTGTTTGCTTATTATAGAAGTGAGACAAATTCACTTGATAGAGACTATCACAACTTTGTGCAGATGATATTGCATAAATGAGAAAATAATTCTAAATGGGATTCTGAAGATTCTGAAGTCCAACATTCTTATTTAAAATACTTTTTCATATTAATTTCCTATGAACTTTGTATGTCTACCTTGTGCAATTAACTTTCCTGTAGCCTTATTTGTTAAATCCACAGTGGCAAATGCAAGAGTTTTTCCTTGCTTCAAAATCTGAGCTGTAATCAGTATCTCTTCTCCAATCTTAGCAGCAGAAGTGTATCTTCAAGGAAGAAAAAAAGGAACAGGTAAGCAACTGTACAGAGGATAAATCCAAGAAAGTTCCTGCATTTTACATTATCATGAAGGAATTAGTAGAAGCGGGTAATAAAGCCAGATCTCTCTCTGCCTGCCTACTTGCAAACCCCCACTTAATGGATTTGAGCTCCTCTAACTACTGGCAGTGGTAAGTAAGTGTAAGAGTTCTCTGACAAAATGGAGGCTAGAAAGAAATCCATTGGCTTCGTTCTGAGCAAAAGTCTGTTTTGGAACAGAAACAATGAGGTATCCAAGGCTTCAGTTAAAAGTTCAGCTCCAAGTCCTATTCCAACCACTGCTGGCTTCCTACAGCCTTTCTAAACTAGTCTGGCTGCTTCAGCTGCAAAATGTCACTGTCACAAAGGCTCCAGAAGGTCATTTCTGTATGGAACTGTAAGCATAGGTTAACTGTTCCCATACCCTGGTTAGAGGAAAGTCATGGAAATCTGGGCAGCCCTCAAATGTTGTTTCTATTTCATTAGAAAACTCTTTGTTTTATTTACATGAGCAGCAGGGTGTGCTTTTAAAACATGCTCTTTGGGGAATAGGAAGAAATTTCTGCACAAAGAATTCCCCTGGAACGAATTAGGAGGAATGTGATCCAACCATGATCTGAGGTAAGGGAACAATATTCAAATGTTGGAGTGTAGAGGAAAATGAAGAATTGCTGGATGTTAATCTTGTTGAGATAAATTTCATCAATGAGTCCATTTTTATACACAACGCCATGTCACAAGAATGTCAGTGACGCCTAACGCTGATGTAGCACCAGCTCCATTGCTTGACAAGGGCAGAATTTCAGCCTTGTCTCATTTCCAGAAGCTACTGCTGATCCTCTTGTGGTTACCAAAAAAAATTTTCTCTGTTTCTCTCTGTTCTTTCCATTACTGAAATAGCTTCCTCATGACAACTTTTTAAAAAGCTCCTTCCCAAAAAGGAAAAAAGTTCTTATAACAATATTTGATATCCAATCTCACTTGTTCAATGAATGCAGTAGTCCAAGTTAAAAAAAGGTATTAATATTGCTTCATGTAACATTGCTTAAAGGTAATTTTGGATCACCTCCAGAGACAGCACTTTCTTCAGATTTCAGCCCTTATGTAATTGGGTGAACATAACTCATAGTGTCAATAATTCAGATGTTGGCCTCTTGTTATACTACTACACAAAAAAACCCCATAATGACAGGAGAATTTTAGGTTTTAATTTCCAGTAAGATCCTAGTCATCACAGTGGTAGCATGAAGCTTAAATAGATGCTTAATCCCCCATCTGCCCAGTGGAGAAATCAGAAGGCGCTGGGAGAGAAAGGAGGGAACCTGGTAAAGATACAGATCACCCCCCCCCCCCCTTTTAAACCTTTTTTTTTTTTTTTTAAGGCAGTTTTGATGAGGGGTTACTTTTCTAACGTTTTTAATGCTCTGTTAGTTATTCCAAGGAGGATTACTTTAGTTCCAATTGGTCATAATGTCTTCATTAAAAGTAATGAAGCAAAGCTGACAAGCATGATCAAAGAAAGTTTCAGAACAATTGTTTTTTTAAGACACCGTGCTTTGAATCTCCATTACAGGAAGAACTATTCTCAGTAAAAAAAAAAACCTTAAAATAACCTAGAGCAAAGGATTCTTCTTCCACTGAGAAATTCTGATTCAATCTGTAATTCACCCTCTATACACAACAAAGGTAAACTCTTTCTGCTTTAATACTTTTCTCTGGTTTATGGAATTATACTAAAAAAGGGATTACAGAAAACTGCTTACCCTAGATTTTGGATTTTGAGGAGACATTAACCTACTGCACAAGCAAAAACTCAAACCAAACCAATTTCTTAGTAGTCAAATTGCTGGCATATCAACATACCTTTACATTCTATGAAGGAATGGACGCTGCCTTGTAAACACATGTAACAAATAAAATCTTAAAAAGGTCTAAATCAAAATTGAAATCAAATGGCACTCTCCAAAAACACACATGCAACCCCTTTAATTTATCGAAACAGGACTTCAGGAACCAAAGAAAACACCCATTTTTAGTGAGTGCCACAGCACAGAAAAGATGTACAATGGAGTCATTAGGGGAAGAAAAGTGAGTATGTTTTGGTACCACAGTGGATGATACCTACGTGATGTTCATGTCCACACTGACCCCAGGCGCTGCTCTTTCTGTGTACAGCAATGCTGCTGTTGACACCACATCCACAAGGGTGGCTGTCAAACCTCCGTGTAATGTGCCACCTCTGTTTGTATGCTCCTCCTCTACTTTCATTTCACAAACAACTTTTCCAGGAGTTGCAGATTGAAGTTTCATCTGTATAAACAAAAAAGGAATAAAAAGCTTAGTGACAGTAGTACCAACACCTAATACTGCCCTCAATCAAATTGAAAGTACATTTTTTTTTACTCTGGACTCATGAGAAAAATTAAAAGATGGAAAATAGTGTAATTCAACTGTCCTGTTAGATATTTCCATAGATTTTGAGCAGAAGACTGTTGCCTTAGAAAAATCTGTACTTCTAATGCAGACAGATATTTAAACTGACAGCTTAACAGAACTTCAATAGGTGCTGTGCTGTCAGGAATTCCTTACGAGGAAACTGTCTTCAGTTTTCCTCTTGCTTTAAGCTGTGAGTGAAAGACCAGATTACAGGGAACACAAAACTGCTCTAAGTATCTGTGTCTGCCATAGCTGTGAAGGCATATTTGTTAGCTCACAAAATGGAAATGAGACCACCAGTAATTCATTAATCATTATGTAAGTGCAACCTCAATAAAAATCAGTATTTTGAAACGAGCATTGGAAATACTAATCAGATTGGCCTCTGATTGGAAATTCATATTCATGAGTAGAAGTATCCAAGGCTGTATCACAGTGTTACAGCATCATTATTGCATATACAATTTCATTCCAGCCCACAGGTGGTAAATCCAGAATTACAGCTCACCTATGATACCATGCTTCCCCCTATAACCAACAAAAGAAGTTGTAATTTTGACACCAAGAAGTTACTGCAATTCAGTATTTGAAAATCTCTGTTTAAATTTCTTCAGTCGGTAGCACTATATTCCAAGTCTGAAAGCAGATGCAAAACTGGGGTAAGTTCCACATATATTTACATGTATAACTAAGACTTTGAAGTGCCTTTAGACTATTAAAAGTGAAATGTGGACATATTTATTTATTTCTTCCTACTAATTTTCAGGTTTTTTACAAAGGCTTTTTTAAACTTGAATGTTTCCATTCTGTTACCAGCTAAGCTTAAATATTTTTTGATCTTAAAAGGTATTAAGGTTGATATGTTTCCAGTTTCATCATTCCTTATTTATAATGCAATGTAAGAGCTGAGTTTCACCCTTTCTGATAAACCAGAGTTTATCCAAGTTTTGCAGACAAAGCAAGATCAATGATGATGTAAGTGCAGTCTTCTAATGGAAAAAACTGGTATTAACACAGAGAGGAAATTACTGAGGCAACATCCTAATGTAGAAATAGCACTTGTATCAATGAAAACACCAAGCCCTAAATCAGGCATGCTGCACTGCACTGGAGGCCTGAGCTTCTGACAGAATTTCTAAGGAAGGCTTCACTGATGCCCAGCACTGGGAGCAGATGGCTTCCTCTCCTGTCACGGACTGGTGCTCCACCCCACCAGCGAGGTGAGCAAAGCATCTGGTCCCATTTGTCATTGCTCTGATCTGGCACTACATGCCTGCTCTCCTTGACAAAAATAGTTCAGTACTTGAACGCTTCCAGGACCTACTCAGCGAGAGCTGCTGCTCTGTGCTTCTCCCAGCCCTGCTGTGCTTGTCCTCCCACGCGTCTGCCTCAGGGAACAGCACATTGCTTCAGCTTCCAGGCTTTAAACACACAGTCATTAAACCCTGGGTAGATACCACATTGGAGTTACACCAGAAACTAAGTCTGAGGATTGAGGTGAAAGGTTTCAGACTAAATGTGTCTTCTCCAGAATAACAAAAAGCTTGAGTCATTTACTTATGGTAAGAGAGATTTCAGGTATCTCCCAGAAAAGCAGCAGTTACTTTTAATTCAAACTATACTTTTATTATTATTATCATCAAATTCCTAGCACCCTAATTCTAGAAGGTTGCAGGAAAAATCTGAAAGTATTCCAGACTGGAAGCCTGTCTCCCAGGGTTCACTTCCAGGCAGTTACGTTTACAAACTGAAGTGCTAATATTTGCTCACCACTTACCAGGATTTAAAAGGAGCGTAAAGGTATCACAGTGAAGTGGTGACTAAGAATTAAATGGACTCTATAAATATATAAATTATCTTCTTAAAGCTTTATACATTTTTTAAAAACTTTATACTCACCAACATGTCTTGGAAAAACATGACTGCAAGAATTACAGTTGATTTTTATTAAGTGTATCAGATCATGGAGCTGTCAACAAAAGCACTGCTTCCATTATAACATTTGCTGCTCTACGATGCAAAGCATATTGATTTTTACACGGCCGCTTTTCTTAGATACATTTACTCCATCACTCCATGTCACAGTTACACAACCAAATAAAAATTAAAGGGAAAATTTAATGAGAACACTGAAACTGCTTCTAGAACAAGAACTTTCCTACACAGCAGCTATGCTACTGCATTCTACACAAGCTGTAGTGTAAATTAACAGTAGCTTCAACTTTTTTTTAGCATAACGTAACATGACACTGCAGCACTACCAGTGCAGTGTCAATTACATTTCCTTACACCAGAATGTGCAGTGAAGTTATAGCATACAGCCTTGTGTAGAAGAAATTCAGAGAGCACTGGGGGGTGTGCGTTGTGCTTTCAGCCTGACTTCAGGCTCAGGAGATGTCATAACGAGGCATCTTTCTAATTTTAAACAGGGAAGAGTTAACTTTACAATTTCCCGGTCCTGGAAGTTAGTGGCTTCGCACGTACGTAGGAAGGAAAGAATGCCACCTGCTGAATGACTCCTGAAGGTTATTCAGTACACTTCAGAGAGCTGCTGGAAGGCAGCTGGAGTGTTTAACGAGAGTTACTGAATAACAATTGGGTAATTATTATAACAATTGTTTCCTACCCCATGTTAGCAGCACGGCCACACGCCAGGGTGCGAGGCCTAGAATGCGGGGAAACACCGGCGAGCCTGCACCACCGGGCTCCTGCCGTGCCCGCAGCATGACGCCCCGATCCCGGTTCAGCCGGTTATTCCGGGAGGGGACAGGAGGCCGGAGAAACGAGCTGTCCCGGCGGGGCCGCGCTCCCGGAGCCCTGCCCTCCAAGTGCCCGTACCTTGCGGAGCACCCGGTCGAAGCCCTTCGACTCCAGCATGTACTTCATGGCCTCCTTCAGGCTCTCCGCCGTGAGCCCCATGCTGCCGCCCCGCTGACCGCCGCCCGCCCGCGCCCCGGAACGGCAACCCCGGCGGGCGGTGCCTGTCGCCGCCTTCCGCCGCAGCCATGGAGGAGCGGGCCGAGGCAGCGCCGAGCCCGCCGCCGCTGGAGCACAAGCGGGAGCAGGAGGATGAGGAGGCGCAGCACGTCGCCAAGCGGAGGAAGGTGCTGTGCTCCGAGTTCTCCACCATCACCAGCAGCGACGAGGCCGTGGCGCGCCGCTTCTTGGCCGCCAGCGACTGGCACATGGAGGTACGGCCGGGGCCGGCGGGGCCGCGGGGCTGCCCGGCGGCGGCCCCTCCCTGCCAGCCGCCCCTGTGTTTCAGAGGGCGCTGAACGCCTACTTCGACCCGCCGCGGGACGCGGAGGCAGCGGCGGGCGGGGCGGCCCCGGCCTGCGCGGACACCGGCAGCTGGTAGGTGACAGGGACGGGGGGATGTGGCAGGAGGAGGGGGTCGGGGAGCGGAGCCTCCCCGGGGAGAGACAGGTTGCCCTCCCCGGGGGGAGGCAGGTGCCCCTCGGCAGGAGGGCGCTGGGGCCCCCACAGCCGGGGAGAGCCATCGCCGGGCCGAGGGTAACTTGGGGAGCAGCGCTCCCCTCCCGCCGGGCATCGCACCTCCGCTGAGGTATAGCGAGGCGCGTAGTTCCTGTTCCTTTTTGTGAAAAACGCCAGTCACTTGTTTTTGAAATTTTAAAAGTTTACTGCTCCCGTTCTCGTCCTTTCCCGACGTTTCTCTCCCATGAAGATGCTCTCAGGCTTTTGGGCTGTATTTTCCCTCTGTGGATGCTCTGGACTAATGGATTGTGAACCTTTTGGAGAAGACACAGACGCATTTTGTTCTCATTGCCTTGTGTTGTGCAGCGCTATGTATGCAGATTTTGCCATACACACATTTGTATATGTGTAAATTATACATATTTGTATTATACCAGGTGCATGAAAATTTTTATTTCTATAAATAAAATTGGCACGTACATGCACACCTTGTTAAATGTACCTGTGAAAGTTAAGATGTAAGATATGTGTTTTACATACACCATCTCACAGCACATCTGGAGAATGTATTGAGTGCATTGATCTGCACGTGGAATTGAACTTTTCCAGATTCCTGTGTGCTATGGTTTAACTGCAGATAGCAACCAAGTAGTATGCACCCACTCACTCAGACACCCTGACTTACCACCACCCTCTCAGTGGGGTGGGAAAGAGAATTGAAAAAAAAGATCAAACCCATGGGTTGAGCTAAAAACAGTTTTACAGCAGAAATAAAATTAATGACAATAATATAAAATTAATTGTCATGAAATTTGAGATAACAAAAAGAGAGAGAGAAATGGAAGCCAAGAAAGATAAGTGATGCATGGTACAGTTGCTCACCACCCACTGACTGATGCCTAGCTCATCTCAAAGCAGCAGTTGGCTCCTCCTGGCCAATTCCCTCCAAGTTCATTCACTGAACATGATGATCTATGGTATGGAATATCCCTTTTGCCAGTTCAAGTCAGCTCACCTCGTCATGTTTCTTATGCACCTGGCAGAGCGTGGGAAGCTGAAAAGCCCTTGTCTTGAGGTAGGCACTAGTTAGCAACAACAAAAACATCAGTGTGTTGTCAACATTATTCTGACCAGGTTTGCTTGGCAAGGTTTTGGTAGTGAGGGGCTACAGGTATGGCTCCTGTGAGAAGCTGCCAGAAGCTTCCTCTGTGTCTGACAGAGCCAAGGTCAGCTGGCTTCAAGGCAGACCTGCTGTGGAACAATGCTGTGCCCATCAGCCATGGTGGTAGCGCCTCTGGGATAATGTACTTAAGGTTAAAAAGTTGCAGCAGCACAGCATCTGCAGCAGAAGAGAGAACTGAAAACAGCCCTGCAGACACCACGGGTCAGTGAAGAAGGAAGGGCAGGAGCTGCTCCGGGTGCAGGAACAGATTCCCCATGTGCAGAGCGTGGTGAGGCAGCTGTGCTCCTGCAAGCCCAGTGGACGACCACAGTGGAACAGAGATCCACCTGCAGCCTGGGGGGGGACTCTCCACTGCAGCGGCTGGATGCCTGAAGAAGGCTGATCCCATGGGAAGCCCACACTGGAGCAGGGTCCTGGCAGGACCTGTGGGCACATGGACAGAGGAGCCCGTGTTGGAACAGGTTTGCTGGCGGGACTTGTGACCCCATGGGGAGTCCACTTGGAAGCAGCCTGTTCCTGAAGTACATAGGGAAAGAGTGGGATTGTGGGGAAAGAGTTGAACTACTCAAGTGCTTTGGATTTTGTTGATTGCCATCTGATTAGCTTACATCAGAATGGTAAATGTTATCTTCCATCCATAAAGTGGAGAAAAAACCACTTACTTCACCTGTGTGCCACAGCTCTGTACGACTGGGGTCTGTATGTTTTAGCTATTGCGCTTTTAAATGATGTTGAGATCCATACATGCTTTAGGAGATAAGTGAGGCAATCACAGATAGGTTAGTATTACGCATGTTAACAAACAAATGCACTTTCTCTTTAGCATTGACCTCACTGGAGATGCAACTACAAGTACTGCTGGTGTCAACAGTGAAGACTCACAGCAAAAAGAAGATGACAGCAACTTCTCGCTGATCACCTGGAACATTGATGGGCTGGATCTAGGAAATGTGAACGATCGAGCTAGAGGAATCTGTACATACCTGGCATTGTAAGTACAATCTGCTCTTTGTATTGTCAGGTGCCTGGATTCAACAGAAAAATAAAAAGGCTTCTTGATTTAAGAATTTACGAATCTTCATGTCCCAATTATCTTTATGTTAGATGAAACAGATCAATCACCCTATAAGTCCTAAATAGCTGAGAGTTGCTGTACTGACTAAAAGGTGTGAACCTATGCAGCGTCCCAGAGGTTAAATGTTTTGAGATAGCTACTTCAAAAGTCTAATAATGAGCAATATTGTTCAAGTTGCAATCATACATCACAAACACAACTCATAATTACATCCTGTACCTGAGAATCTTCTGGAAAACATGTCCCAAAGCTACTTTGCAGCTGCTTAAGTTAAATTCCTCAAGTTATACCTGCAAGGTCGTAGTAGAAGGAAGTCATGCATTTTATTACCATGTTGTTTTCATGTTCATAATGACAATTGTTTCCTCCCTTTTAGTAATGGTGGTGTCTATGTGCTGCCAAATACAATGCAGATAGCTTTTTCTTTTTTAAAGAGCAGATTCTTACAAAACCTAGGAAAGTGAGGGCAAGGTGCACCTGAAATCCCTGACTTTTTTCCATTTGGCATCAGAGTGTTGCAGTACTACTTCTCAGTAATTAATTGCAATTTTTCTTGCCTTGCTGATTTCAGATACAGTCCAGATGTTGTGTTTTTACAGGAGGTCATCCCACCACATCTCCCTCTTCTCCAGATGAAAGCAAGCAATTACACTATTATTCCAGGTAAGAAAATACCCTCAGGTGCTAAAGACAAAAATCAGAAAACAAAGGTTGGGTTTATTCTGTTTCTCCTGCCAAAACCTCCAACCATTTTAAAGTATATAAAGAGTAAAGTCAAGAAGGAAGCACTCGATGTTTCTGTGTTTTGGTATCAGCATGTAGCTTGATGCAAATTATGCATGTGAAAATCTTGTTTTTCTGGCATTTTCCTTTGTATTTATGACTGCATTTTGAAAGGTTGGTAGCAAGGGTAATAAAAAAGTACCACAGATAAGTAATTTTTTTTAGGTATTTGCATTTAAAAAATCTGGAAAATTCAGACCATTATTATGCAACTTTTCACTAATGACTTAAAAATCAACATATTCTCACAGGTTGTGGTAAAAAGGTCTCTTTCAGAACCTTAAATGCTTTATGGCAGTTCTGCTGTGGCACAGCAGAAGATGTCCTCAAACATTTCTTTGCTTGGTTCTCTGTAGGTAACGTAGATGAGTATTTCACTGCTGTAATGTTAAAGAAATCGAGAGTGAAGCTACTGAAACATGCCATAATACCTTTTCCAACGACTGCCATGAAGAGGAACCTTTTAGTTGTGCATGTGAGTGAGTCAGGATGTACTAAGCAGCTGTACTTCTGCCTTCCAAACAGAAAATCCCAGGAAACACTGGACTGGCTTTTTCTCTATGACAGTCTCAAAGAGCAGAAAAACTTCTTCAAGCCTACAAACCCAGTTGCATTTGATCCTGACAAACTTAAATCTTTTATGCAAGTTACTTACCATACTTTGCTTTTTAGTCTCATAACCTCTGATAACAAAACTAAAAGCCTGTTATCCTTCTGTAAGCCCATTTTCTTCAATGTAAAACTAATGTTAACCAGAGCTCTGACATTCAGTCATTTGCTTTGTGATTAGATTTTGTGTTTGAGCTTCTTACCATGATGTGGATCGTAACACTGCCTCTTTGTTTCTCACATAGGTGAGCGTATCTGGTATTGAACTTTGCCTTATGACTTCTCATCTGGAGAGCACTAAAGATCACTCCAAGGAACGTATAAAACAGCTGCAAATCGTGTTAAATGAAATGCAGAAAGAGTCTAAGTCCACCACTGTTATATTTGGAGGAGATACAAACCTCAGAGACAGCGAGGTAAATAGAAATAAGCAACTTTGCTCTCTAGAGAAGGTATTTTGACAAAAACTTCTCAGGCTTTTCTGTTGTCTTGATGAGAAATTACCTGCTTAGGCAGAACAGAGATAGTCAACACTTATTCTTAAGATGTGGAACTGTGACTAAGTAGAAGTAAGCATTGTTTTGGCTGAGGTGATTTATATGGAGACCCCTTCCGAATAACAAAATGCTTTAATAACAGTACTTGAATCTGAGCTGGTGCAGGCAAATTTGATGGAAGTTTTGGCTTCAAAAACAGCATCTCATTTTAAGAACCTGGTCTTTAGTTGTTCTACTCTCCAATTCTCAG